TCTTGACCAGAGGACTCCATTGGTACCCATAGCGTGGCTCTAGGCCCTGTCTAAGAGAAAAGCCAAAAATCGGCGAACCGGCCGTTTTGTTCAGCCACCTTTTTTCATCTTCATCATCATCATCATCATCTTCTTCATCATCAAGTCCTGTCAATCCAGTTGTCGGTGTGTATCTCAGTATCAGTTGGTGCTACAAGGATAATTCTTACACCAATCTACTCCAACAGTCTATGCGCAGGTCCATGTCCCATCAGATCATTCTTCAAGTAAGGAAAAAGTGGTACTGTGGCTGCTGGATCGAGCCATCTTAGCTGCATGCAGCCATTTTGTTAATTAAAAAAGCATGCCATGTGCTCCAAAATTTGGGTGTGGTCGCGCATGCTCAGATATGCAGCTCTGCATCTGGAAGAAGCAATTATTTACCAAGCTATGCTTGCTACTGCAATACTTTAGTGGAGGTTTCCAGCTAAAAGAAGGTATTAATCTTACATGTTACTGTTTTATCAAGTGTGTGATTTTATTTTATTTTAAAAAACAAACAATTAATTAATGTATGATATGCAATGATAATATGAATGACAACAGCCTGGAAGAACAGGAATAGCTGCATTCTGCTGCAACATTGCAGGGAAGATGGACACTCTCAGCTCACAGCTTCTTGAACAAGGACTTGTGTCAAGACTAGTATTAATTTCACTTGTCATCAGGATAATTGATATTCCTTCAGCATGTCTATTCAATGCTGTCTCTCATAAATGATGTAAAGTCATAACAATGATAATAATAATAAAGAAAATTATTGTTTGTATAAAATCAACAAGCATCACAATGGCAACTAAAGAAATATCATAAATATTATAAAAAAATCAACACAAACAAGAACATAAAAAATTAAAAAAAACAAGATTAAGTAGGATTCCGAACGACCAACGAAAATACGAAATGAAAATCCTACTCGTGATGCAAATTCTACTCTACATTGCAAGGTGATCCGTAATTCTTACATAATAACATTGAAAGTACAATGTAGAGTA